TGTGTGTGTGTGTGTGTGTGTGTGTGTGTGTGTGTGTGTGTGTGTGTTTGATACACTGGGCACGCTCTGTTTGGCTGATTTTTATGCTTTTTATTGTCTTTATTTTATTACTGTTGTGAGCTACCCAGGGTTATGTTACATATAAGGACAACTATACAATTTTTTAAAAATAAATTCTGTGTGAAATTGCATTGCTTCCCTCTTCCAAGATACTTCATTATGTTTTCCCTGGTTTGTTTCAAAGTGGTGACTTTGCCTAGGAAACAGGGGCAAGGGCTGAATTCAGATTCAACTGTTTAGGAACGTTCAGTTTGTTTTGGTATATATTCCAAAATTAGAAAGCATAACACCAAACTAATTGGTAAGACTCATATTGAAGATTGTACACATTGGACTGATGATGGAACAGTCAACTCTGTATAACATCTTTGAGCATTTGAAACCCTACCAAGAGATGAGTCTGATACAGCTCAGGAAAGTGCAGATCATTTTATATCATTGCAAGTCATGTTCACTAGCTAGATCCTATTTTCAAAATTATTGTAATTGTCTTGATACCTAGGAAATTGTGCTGATATCTTTAAAAGAAAAAAAATGACAGCCACGTGGGTTTTTTTTTTCTGTTCTAGATGTGAGCGACTAGAAGAACAGCTGAATGACCTGACTGAGCTTCATCAGAATGAAATCCTCAATTTAAAACAGGAATTGGCCAGCATGGAGGAAAAAATAGCTTATCAATCCTATGAACGAGCCAGAGATATCCAGGTCAGCAGTTGTTTGTATTTGCACTTCATTTACGTTATATCTGCTGAGCATTTTTCACAAACATTGCTCTATTTCAGTTTATATTTTAATCCTCATTAATAGTAGAATTGAGATACTAAATCCCAAATTATCTTAATTTTGTGACCCTTACTGGAGCCGGGATCAATATACCTTGGCAAAATTTGTTCAAATCCTATTAAGAAATTCCTGGTAAAGAAAAGCTGGCAGGTTTACAATGAAAATCAATTCATTTCCTGGCAAACTTGCTTCCATCTTTAGAGAGAGTTATAATACAGGTGGGTTTGGAGACATGTTTATACCATCGCAGACAGTATTTTTTATAGTATTGTTCCCAGTAAGGGTATGTTTGCTATTAATTTTAATGAAATGTGGAAATATAAAGAGTAACCAGTGTAATATGTACAGGTGAAACTCGTAAAATTAGAATATCGTGCAAAAGTTCATTTATTTCAGTAATGCAACTTAAAAGGTGAAAGTAATATTTGAGATAGGCTCATTATATGCAAAGCAAGATAGTTCAAGCAGTGATGTGTCATAATTGAGATGATTATGGCTTACAGCTCATGAAAACTCCAAATCCACAATCTCAGAAAATTAGAATATTGTGAAAAGGTTCAATATTCTAGGCTCAAAGTGTCCCACTCTAATCAGCTAATTCTGCCATAATACCTGCAGCGGGTTCCTGAGCCTTTAAATGGTCTCTCAGTCTGATTCAGTAGGAATCACAATCATGGGAAAGACTGCTGAGCTGACCGTTGTGCAGAAAACCATCACTGACACTCTCCATAAGGAGGGAAAGCCTCAAAAGGTAATTGCAAAAGAAGTTGGATGTTCCCAAAGTGCTGTATCAAAGCACATTAATAGAAAGTTATGTGGAAGGGAAAAATGTGGAAGAAAAAGATGCACAAGCAGCAGGGATGACTGCAGCCTGGAGAGGATTGTCAGGAAAAGGCCATTCAAAAGTGTTGGGGACTTTCACAAGGAGTGGACTGAGGCTGGAGTCACTGCATCAAGAGCCACCACACACAGACGGATCCTGGACATGAGCTTCAAATGTCGTATTCTTCTTATCAAGCCCCTCCTGAACAACAAACGTCAGAAGCGTCTTACCTGGGCTAAAGAACAACAGAAGTGGCCTGTTGCTCAGTGGTCCAAAGTCCTCTTTTCTGATGAGAGCAACTTTTGCATCTCATTTGGAATCCAAGGACCCAGAGTGTGGAGGAAGAATGGAGAGGCACACACTGCAAGATGCTTGAAGTCCAGTGTGAAGTTTCCACAGTCTGTGTTGATTTGGGGAGCCATGTCATCTGCTGGTGTTGGTCCACTGTGCTTCGTTAAGTCCAGGGTCAACGCAGCCGTCTACCAGGAGATCTTGGAGCACTTCATGCTTCCTTCCGCAGACGAGCTTTATGGGGATGCAGACTTCATTTTCCAGCAGGACTTGGCACCTGCCCACACTGCCAAAAGCACCAAAAGCTGGTTCAATGACTGTGGGATTACTGTGCTTGATTGGCCAGCAAACTCGCCTGACCTGAACCCCATAGACAATCTATGGGGCATTGCCAAGGGAAAGATGAGAGACATGAGACCGAACAATGCAGAAGAGCTAAAGGCCACTATTGAAGCATCCTGGTCTTCCATAACACCTCAGCAATGCCACAGGATGATAGCTTCCATGCCCCGCCGCGTTGAGGGAGTAATTGCTGCAAAAGGGACCCAAACCAAGTGCGGAGTCCATATGCATGCTTATACTTTTCAGAGGTCCAGTATTGTTCCATGTACAATCCTTGTTTTATTGATTGCATATAATATTCTAATTTTCTGAGATTATGGATTTGGGGTTTTCATGAGCTGTAAACCATAATCATCTCAATTATGACATATCACGGCTTGAACTATCTTGCTTTGCATGTAATGAGTCTATCTCATATATTAGGTTCACCTTTTAAGTTGCATTACTGAAATAAATGAACTTTTACACGATATTCTAATTTTTTGAGTTTCACCTGTACATTTCTTCAGGAAGCAGAACTTCTTAAAGATGATTTTTTTAATCTGGGTATATAAAGTTATACCCAAGTTTAAATAGAATTTAAAGCTTAAAAAATCTGGAACGTTAAAGAACTGAGCTACATGTTCACTCAGAATATTGGTTTATCCCTTACAAGAAGGCTAATTCCATATGAGGCTGATAAAACTTTACACTGAGATAATCTCTGCCACATGGATCTATCCCCCAGAGGATTTGTGGAATGGGGCTGGTTTTCAATCCTGTGTAGAAAATTAAACTATGTTTGTCCCAATGGTGTTGTTCAAAAGACAATTGGATTTCCTTGGTTTTTCCTTTAATTTTTTTTGTGTCTCATCTAAGAACTTCAGTTCTGAAGTTCAGGTTAGTTCAGTTCTGAGGTGAAGAAGCTTTTTGGATGAGAAGCAAAATGTTTTCAAGGTAAAAAAAAAACCCAAGAAAATCCAGTTGCTTTTTGAACAGCACCTTTGGGACAACCATGATCTGGATGATTGAGAATCTCCATAAATTATGTTTGGCCTCCTCCCAGCTATGCTTCAAATATAAGAATACACAAGAGCAGGAAAGAGAGAGAGAGAGAGAGAGAGACATATTTAAGAAGAGATTAATGTAGAGGAGAAATTTAGCAACCCCATTTTCCACCATCCTGTCATTTGGCAGCTTTTTTGTGTGTGGGAATATAACATCAGATGCAAAAGCATAGATGCAGGCAGACTTTTAACCACACAATCTACCTTTTTCTTGGTTATGAATATGTAGGTGGGCAGTAGTAGCGGACATCTTCAGGATCACACTGGTTGCAGATGATTCAGTAGTTTTTTTCACCACTTAAAACTTTCAAACCCCATCCAGAAAAAAGGGGGCCCTGCCCCAGTCCATTTTTAGAGAGTGATTCCCAACATGCGGCTCTCAAAAGCTACAGAAGTTGTGCACTCCTGACCAAAAGGAATTTATTTACACCAGTGGCTTTATTTTTGCTTCAGCATAAATTATGCTTGGATGTTATTACTACAACTGGAGCATTTATACCAAGAAATGTCACAATGTCAGGTTTAAAATCTAATTGTCTGTGCAGAGAAAAATAAGCAGGCAAGTGAAATCAAGAGACAGTTATCCTAACCTGAAAGTCTCTTGATTCCTCACTCCATATTGTTCACAGCAGAAGACTGTAACATGATACCATGAATTGTAAATTACTTGTATTTGGGATTTATTGCCATTCAAATCTCTACAATTTTTTGGAGATTATGCCAGCCATATTACAGATTGGGCTGCCAGATCTGGGCAGTAGAAATCCTGATAACTATGGTACCAGATAGTAGGAAAGAGATACAGAAAACTAATATCTGTTGATTGTCCACATTTTTTTAAACCCAGTTTTGTAGGAACAAGCCTGGAGAAACCTTAATTTTGGTCCTGGATATGAAACCAAAGGAATTAGTCACATCCTGAAAAATGTGATTGCAGCTCCTAGAATCCCAAAGGCATTGTAGGGTGTGTTTAGTCTTTTATTTAGAAAATGTGCCAGGCTGCATTTCTGATTATTATCCTGTCAACTTCTGGCACCTGATATTTTGTCGGTGGACTGCTTGACACTTTACATTTATGCCTAGAGGTGTATTCTGTTTGGGTAAGAAAGAGTCTTGTATAAGATCTCATTGATCTCTCTCTCTCTCCTCTCTCTCTCCCCCTCCCCTCCCTCCCTTTTGAGGTGACTAAGCAGTTTTCTTGTGCTCAACAGGAGGCCTTGGAAGCTTGCCAGACCAGAATCTCCAAGATGGAACTGCAGCAGCAACAGCAGCAAGTTGTCCAGTTGGAGGGCCTTGAAAATGCCACTGCCAGAAACCTTCTGGGCAAACTAATAAACATCCTTTTAGCAGTGATGGCTGTCCTGTTGGTGTTTGTCTCTACTGTGGCCAACTGCGTGGTCCCCCTGATGAAGACTCGCAGCAGGACGTTCAGCACTTTCTTTGCCATGGTCTTCATTGCCTTTCTGTTTAAGCACTGGGATGCCATTACCAGCTACTTGGAACGCTTCTTTTCACCCCCCAGATGATGACAAGAACAGGCCGTTGCCTCACCCACTCGAGCTGGATCTGGCAAGGAAGTGCACCAAACTTAGTCAGCAGTTCCTTCCTCCACTGAAGACGTAACATGTCCGAGTGTGAATTTGTTTACAGTTAAAATAATATTTTCTCTCTGAGACATATTGGCAATAGTGAGGGTTTTTTTTAGAATTTATTAAAGAACTCTTTTTTTTTCTTTTTCTCAAAAAACTGTTTTTATGTAGCATGGTTCTCTTTGGATGCAAATCTTAATATTCTGTATGTGTACAGAGATAAAACACAAATCTGGAGCATACCAATGGGCAAATTAAATTATGGCTCGACTACTGTACTAAACCCAGTCGGAAGAAGAAAAGACAATTACATAAGTTCTAACTAAGATAATCCGGTGCATAGCGATACTCTTGATTATCCTACATTGCTACTGTGAAACCTGACCACCTTCTGTGTCTGAATGTATAGCTTCAGGATGGCTTTCTCTAGTGAAAGACCAATGCAATACATGGAACTTTCTGGATCTCTTCTTGGGTTTGCCTCTTCTGCTGTTTAAACTTTCTGGCTAGATACATGAAGTGGATTAGTTCCACTGTGTACAGTTCCTGCACAGTTGTTCTACAGTATTTTGAAGTAGCCCTTTGAATATTTTAAGCAAAAGCCCTTGGTTGCACTTTGACTGTTTTTTAATGTATGTATAGTCACAGATTTAAAAATCCAAATGGCATACTTGAAGAGTGTAATACTCAAACTCTCAGTGCTTCCTTATTGTTTCTAATAGGATTTTTTATTCTTATTGGGGATTGTTTTTGAACTTAATGGTTGAGAGCATCATCTCTTTTTCTCTTTCTTGCTCTCTTTGAATAAAGAAGTGACGTTCTTAAATGAAGAAGTGTGTGAATAAATATGAGCTACCTTGTTCTGAGATGATTTGGAAGGTTGCAAATAACATTTAATGTATCTCAAGTGCAAACCTGCTCAAATGTGATCTGTTTCCTCCTTAACTTCCAGACCTCACATTAAGAAAACAGATGATCTGATCCCTCCTGACAGGTCATAATGCCCGTTTGTTTTGTTTGGGAGTGAATGGGGAAACTGGAAATCTTGTCCCTGGTCCTGTTGTGTCTAGGCCAGTTATTTTAATGAGAATAAAGAAATCCTGGTTTGTTTTAAGAAAAATGAAGTTTTGAAAGCATGAGTGAGTGAGCTGTTCTGAGAAGAAAAATAGGGAGTCTTAATATCAATAATAAATAGGACTTAAACTTTTAAGTTTAGGCTCCTTCATGCCAAAGTTGGAGTGGTAGCTAAGATAGACTACAGTCAGTCAGCTTTAGGTCTATTGCAAAGTTACCCTGTGTCTCTAAGGAAGGCATAAATGCTTAAGGAAGCATCAAGTCATAAGGCCAATCCTTTAAATAGTACCCGAGTTAATGTGTTATTCAAATATGCCCTTGGGAACTGAAACCAAAGCTGTACTACTAACAAACTTAACAGTGTTCACGCTGTTGGTACTTTTTTATATTTAGAGTCAGCCTGTTCAACCTCATTTTGTTCCTATATAGGACATCATGAAATTAGTAAGATTTGGTGGCAGCTGAGCATTGTCAAGAAGTAGGGAAACAAAAGAGCAAGTAAACTGTATTTCCACACACACACACACACACACTAGTTACTCAACACAAGCTCGAAGCAGGTTCTTCCTGTTTCAAAGCATGTAAAACAAGAACTTGAGTAAATTGCATAGGTAAGTGTTCCAAACAGACATTGCTCTTGCAAGACATATATTTAGAAAAGCAGTGGCATGAGCTGCTTGTACCTCAACTTTCACTGCTTTTTCAAAAATGTAAACAGAGCCTAGACGCATATGAATATTCATTCTGTTAGTAAGTCTTCAGCCATGGTGTCATGTTTTTCCAAAACGTATTTAATGCTGGCCAACAAGTTTTATATTTGTGAAATTCAGAATTACAATTCTTAAGTTTAGCTGTTTACACTATGAAACAGTTAAGTATTCTTTCACATTGCCAGAATATAATTATTTAATTCTAACTTGACCAGTGTTTTATCTAAGAGCCCTAACAATCCCCCAAATAACCTACATAATGTGGAATTTTATACAGAAGTTTTTACTTCTTAGGCTTTATTATTTAAATTTTGTTTCTATCCCTTCTCCTCGGTTAAATGGAACTTGGCCTTCTGACTGTCAGCAAAGAAAACATATATACATAAAGCCTATATAGAGAAACTTCCTTTTGCTTTAGAATTAAATCATAATTCAAGAGGTCTAGCATATCATTTTCAGAATTGCAGTTCTTTATACAATCAGATCCCTAATGCTAACATGAACCACAGATTGGTACGAGGGGGGGGGATCTACTTATTCCCCCCAAAAAAATTGTTAATTTGAAGAGATTCTGGCTAACAACTAAGCATTCTGTGGCCCTAGCCCTATAGATGTAGATTGTTTATTACTATTTGTTTGTTAATATTTTCCTTCAATTTATTATCACTGCTCCTAAACAACTCAATACCACTCCTGTTTTCTGCATGTAGGGCATGATCTGGTCAAAACGTGCATTGCTTGAGATGATTCCTAGGGCCACTTTTGTGAAGTACGGAATTTTCTATAGATAAACTTAGCACAGCATATGAACAAATATGACCTAGATGAGTATTCATTATTCAATATTCACTGAAGTCTGTTAGTGAATACTTCATTGCTTTTTCTTGTAAACATTTATAATTTGTGTGTATTATTAGATAAATGCTACAACAGCTAGCATCTGTTTACCAGCAAAAAAAAAAATGTGTGATAGAGTCCTAATCTTCAGAATTTCCCCCCAAAAGATGTTTTGGTTTATGATTAAAACAGGCTTTCAATGCATTCTAAAGGTTTCTGTTCATATTTTATGAGATTGCATCCAATCTGTTGAATATTCTAACATAACTCGTTTCATTTTGCCTTTTTTTGCTAACAAATTCATTCATTCATTCTCACTGCATCATATTAGTTAACAAATGTTGTTTAAAAATGTGACTATAGCTTTAAACTCCTAATTCCCTTTGCAAGCATTTTTGGATTATTTGTTACAGATAGTGTTTGCAAGTAAGTGAGTGTGTGTGTAGTATTATTACTGATGTGGCCCTCCTAAGTTATGTATTGATTTTCCACAGTTTCCTTTTTGGTCGTATAAAGAACATATCAGATGGTCACAAAAAAGAAATGAATGTAGCAGATTGAATTGATGGGAACAACTAGCCTAGAATATTTTCAATGGTTCATAACATATCTAACCTTGATGGTTTTTTTAAAAAAATCTGAAGATACTACGTTCCAACATTGTTCCTCCAACCATAAACGATACATGCACAGAGTACGATCCCTGTATGAACTCTATGATAATATCAAGCATGTTTACAATTACTAGTTTCTAATTTGTTTATTCTGCATCAGTGGAGCCCAAACTATTCCATTTGGTCGGGCTATGTTGTAAGTGATGGGACTGGCCTTTAAAATGGACCTTCCAAAATTTAAAGTGCAAACAATGGGAACCGAGTTGCCCGATGATAGGCAGCTGTCAAATTCTTTAGCAGTTTTGAGAAATTCCAAATGTGGCAAAAGAGTTGTATGTCTGTGTGTGTCTGTGTTGTGTAGGCCAGGTGACATTGTGCATTAGTAGGCAACTGACACAACTGTAAGTGTAGTTTTTTTAAAAAAAGGATAAAATAAAAACTCACTTGCTTGGGATGACAAGTATGGCAGTGACACTGTAGTTTATAGAACTTTTAAGCTGCTAACTGTTGAGAAGGATTGACGTTTGTCTGATAGTCACGGGTTTGTCTGTGACTCATGCTGTATATAAAATTCAATAAAACCTCAGATATTCACTGTTGTGTGACTTAGTTGTTATGTGAGAAGGAGAACACACCAAGGAAATAATTAATGTTAAGGCAACTTTACATCCTAAGGACAAGAAATCGAAATTGCAAGAATGTAGGTCAGTGTTACAGTGGGTGACTGCTATCGAAACACAGGCATACTCAATTTTCTCCATGCTGCATGACTACAGGTTAAAATAGCACACAGAAAGTCAGACTGTCAGTTCTTGTAGCTCAGTCTTCCCTCATGTTATTTACATGAGACTTTCCAAAGTCATAGGCAGAGGTTTTTTTCCCCCAAATTGGCTCCATAGGACTACTTGATATTGGAAATACAAGTGATCAAAATTGAGAATATCTGTAAAAGTAGCTCTGTAGCCCTCCTCAGCCATGGGTTTCAAACTCTTGCCTTGAAAGAATTCTACGCTGATCCGTCTATCAAAGATCACCTGATGTTGTGTCCATAGAACAGTTGTGTGGGTGGAGGTACGGTGAAATATCTTGATCCTCCTCTAAAACCTCTTCTGGCAGCTGCATTAAGGTTTTCTTTGAAAACTGGCTTAAAATGTTCCAAGAGACTTCAGGAGTTCATCACCTATTCAGCAGCCAACATGTTGGCCTTCTTACAATAAAATAATCACCTAGACTGGTGAAGGCATGCAGAGAAGCAATGATTGGGAATAGAATGGATAAGCTGTATCTGGTTCAGCTTGATCGTTTAAATTGCCCAACTGAATGCATTCCTTGGACTGTTTCAAATCCATTGTTCCAGATGGCCTTCAGGAGGGAATTGGACTTTACTTTAAACAATATTTACCTGTCTCTAATAGCATGAAGGCTTGTTTTCTACGCAGTGATTTAAAAGGTAGCAAAATTTGTAGTACTGACTGAACTGGCAACTTTCTAAATCATACATTCATGCTACATTGATCCATTCCATACACAGGTAGTGTGTGGACTTAACAACAGTCCATTTGGTAGTGTGTGGACTTAACAGTCCATTTGGTAACAAGTTACAACAGCACTGAAAAAGTGTGACTCATGACCATTTTTCACAGGTATGACCTTCCCAGCCATCTCCAAGATCATGTGAAGAGAACTCAGATACTTGGCAACTGTTTCATATTTATGACGGTTGCTATGTTCCAAGGTGATGAGATCACCTTCTGTGAACTTCTGAAAAGCAAAGTCAATGAGGAAGCCAGATTCTGTTAACAAACTTATCAGCTGCAGTGATTCACTTAACAACTGCGACAAGGAAGGTCGTAAAATGGAACAAAACTCAACTCTCTCATTTTACAAAAGAAATTTTGAGATCAATTGTCATAAATTGAGGTCTACCTGAAACCAGTATTGAATACCATTTCTTAATGTTTTGGGGAAAGAAAAAACGTATAGTTATATCTAGAGTTTATGTGTCTCTTCAGTCCAGTGGAATTCTGAACAATTTACCTTTTTCCTTTGCAGTAAGAAACAAGTTAAAATAAAATTAGTACTGTATTATTTTAAAGCTATACCAAGTCCAATGCCAAAAAACCACACCACCACATAACCCTGTTATATATTTTGGAAGACTTTCCCAAGCCCTCTTGGAATAACGATATTTGGGTGGTTTTCCTGAAAAAGCAAGAGGCCACAACAAAGATGTTCTGTAAGGGAAGGAGGCCATAGAAAGCCAAATTTTACTCGATGGGCAAAACCCGCTGAGAAACAATCCAATAGGTATCCAACTCCTAAACTGGGTATGGTCTTCCACCAGTAAAAGGCAGTCCAAGCCTACCTTTTATGCCAAGGAATACATTTCTTGCATGAATAAGTCACTGCACAAAATTTGCCTCCAATGCCTCCTTTAAAACAGCCTTTTCCAGCCTCAAGTCTTTGAATATATTGATTACAGATGAAAAACAGTTGTGAAGCCTAACATGGCTGGTAGATACCAATTTGAAGAAGGGAACGATGTGAAGGCATATTGAAATCTATGCAACCTTTGACACATAATTGAGTCTGAATAAAATAAGTTGCACATTTAGAAAAAAAATGTTTTGAGGTCATTCTGTGTTTCTCCAGGACAGTGAACTTTGTATTCCTATTACTATATTATAACAAAGGTTGTAAGTCTGCCTGAAGCAGCTGACCAGATGCTTGTGTTCTGTAAGATCATGCAATATTCTCTTTTAAATGTTTTGAAATGTACACCACTATATTTTTAGACTTTCATTGAACCCCATGCAATGTAGGGCTACCATATTTGGACTGCAAGAATCCAGATGATAACTTGATAGCAACAGTATTGGAATTTTCCATATCTCTTTCCTTACTTCTAGGGTACATCTGTATTTTCCCCAACCTGCTATGGTAGGTTATGCAAAAGGACTTCCTTCTCTCCTCCATAACATTTTGTGCTAGTCCCAAATCTGCTCCAAGATATCGTCTGTCTTGGACAGTTTAAAATTTATTTAAAAAATAAATTAGAAATGAACAATTTGGGGGAGGAGTTTGTGAGATACTGTTCCATCAGTGGAACAGCACCATTAGATATAACTATAAATATGGAGAGTATATTCAACTTGGTGAACTAGAAATTGAAAATTTGAAAACTGAAAATATAAGTTGTATTATATGGTTTGTGGATTCCCATCAGATGCTGCAGAGTTGATTTTCCATTATCCTTTGTCCATGATGAAAAATAAATTAAACTGGAAAGTTCCACTGGATGAGGGATTGGGGTAAAAGTGAACCTAAATTTTCATTTTGCTAGTCTGTAGCAGGTTGATTTGCTGCTGGCTTTGTACACCACCTAGTGGTAGAATTTTATCTTTTCAGTTAATTTCATTTCAGCAATTTCTTCCAATCACTGTTAACAGTCCAGCTTGTTATTGTATTTGCAGAAATATAAAAAAATGATAGGATTATGTTCTAAGATCCTTGTTCTTAAAAGATAGCCCTCATCTTCAGTTTCAGAGACTACCATCCTTTGAAAAATACCCCATCCTTCCAAATAATATATATTTGCAGCTTTCTGGCCCCAAACCAAAAATGACATGTGGCTATTCTTCCAAACAATTTTTATTGTTTCACAAAATCATGCCATACTGAGCACTGTATTATCTGCATCTACACAATATACTCTTTGAACTATTTGAGAGGGGCTGTCTGTACCCTCTTTCTCCCACACATAATATCTGGACTGAGTTGCCTCTTACTCCCCTGCCATTCACCCTCTCTCTCCTGATGATCCTATCTGTTCTACATTCCCTCAGAGCAGTTCTGTCTAGGCATGCATGCTAAAACAATATTTAACTCTCTCCTACCTAGTAGCTTCATCAAATAAATCAGATTGATATGGCCCTTCTAAATTGGACAGCCTGTAGTCCTAAATTCATTTGTTCTGCTTAATTATGTAGCATGTCAACACATAATTTTAAATATTACAAAGTAATTACAGAGTCCACACACTGAGAAACCAGAATCAATATAGAGATGCAGCCCGGTCTTGTTCTTCAAGGTACTCCCAGTTGTTCCCAGTTGTTCATTTTAGATGCCAGACAATAATAGTTTAGAAATGGGTGAATCTCAAAATCATACTTTCAGCAGTATGCATCTTACAACCTAAGAGGTAATGTAATTTGTGTGTCATCTTACCATAAAAGTCACATGCACACATTGTGTAAATACTGTGTTTCTCACAAAATAAGGCCAGGCCTAATTTTTTTTGACACCCCCCCCCCCCCAAAATGGCTAGGCCGTCTTTTACGGGTGACTTAATTCCCCCCCTTTGCATTCTTGGGTGGGTGGGCAGCGATGGCTTGGATGTTGACATCGGCGTTGGTGGGGCACTTTGTTTCGGGAGACCTTCCGCCACTGTTGCTTTCCCTTCTTCCTTGCTGCCACGTCATTTAGAGCAATGCCGCGGCGTTTGGCGCAGCCCTGTGTGGCCAGCCAGGGCTCCTCCCTGCAACCGGAGCCTGATGGAGACACTCGGCTTCAGGCGCTTCTTTCACCGCCTTCCCTTTGCCTTCAAAAGTAAAGCCAATTATTTTAAAAATGACGTCCTACTACAACAAAGCCTCCCCTGCCCGAGAGGGCAGCCCAACCCCACGTGGGGAGGTGAATCTCCCGGGGCTGCAGCGCAGGATTGGCCCACCTCGGGAGAAGTGTCCAGCCACCATCCCTGCCTGGCGCCGGGCAGAGCGCAAAGAGCTTCACCTGGGGCGCCCAGCGCAGCTGACAGGTGGGCCCTCCTGCCTGGCAGCGGATCTCTCACCAAGACAGCAAGCGCCTCCCCACCAGACCCTCTGCTCATCCCGTCAAGGCTGCACCAGAGCCGTGCAGGCTGGGCAGAGCCGGGAAAGCAAGTTGCAGGTGCGCGCCGCCTGCCAAGCAAAAGAGCCGGGCTGACCTGAGCTTGGCTTCCTTCCCAAGTCCCTCCAGCACGAACCTGAAGGGGCCACTGAGAGAGGCTGCCCGAGGCAGTGATAGCGCCCACCCGTCCACGGACAGGGAGGCGAGGTGATGGCAGTGCTGCTTCCCTGGCCGGTGGAGAGAGCCCGAAGCCACCCGTCCTTTCCACCCCTCGCCCATCCCATCCCCATCTTCAAATGTGCCAGCAGCTCCAAATGGTGCAGCGGAATGGGCATCAGGCAGAGGCGCTGACTCGGCAGGGATCAGCTCGGAGGAGGACACGGTGCAGGCCGTCACCTTGCCTCCCTATCCATGTATGGATGGGCACTATCACTGCCTTGGGCGGCCTCTCCTGGTGGCTCCTTCAGGTTCACACTGGAGGGACTTGGGAAGGAAGCCAAGCTCAGGTCGGCCTGGCTGTTTTG